CCACCGATGGCTCACCGAGAGCCGCCCTCCGGCAGCGCCCGGCTCAGCCATCCCCGCTCTCTCCGCAGCTTCAGGAGGACGAGCTGCGGGATGCCGTCTTGCTGGTGTTTGCCAACAAGCAGGACATGCCCAACGCCATGGCGGTGAGCGAGCTGACCGACAAGCTGGGGCTGCAGACGCTGCGCAGCAGGACCGTGAGTGACCGGGGTGCTGTCCCTGTCCCTGCGGGAGGGACCTGTGGGGCTGCGGGGCTGCTCCTGGGGCGCACCGGGCTGGCGAGCTGCAGAGCCCGAAGCCCTTTTCTCCGTCTCCCTCTGTTTTGCAGTGGTATGTGCAGGCAACGTGCGCGACCCAGGGCACGGGGCTCTACGACGGGCTGGACTGGCTATCGCACGAGCTCTCCAAGCGCTAGCCGGGCCGGTGGCACAGGGACCGGATGAGCCGGGGACGTCTCTTCCAACTGCTGTTTTGTTTGGTTTTCTTTGTTTTATTTGGGGGGGGGGTTGTGTTTTTCCTTTCTCCCCAGGGTGGCCTCGTCTCTGTGTGTTTATCTGGTAGGACTTGAACCTCAAGGACTCTTCGGGCAGCTCCGCTCCGCGGTGTCCTGCCTTCGCCCCAGCAGCGCTGTGTCCTGGCCGCCCTCCCCACCTGCATGTGCTGTCTGCGAGAGCTTGCCCGGACCTGCCAGGGTGGCATGTCCCCAAGTGTCCCCGCTCCTCGCCCGGAGCCGGCGGTGGGGGCTGAGCGGGGCTGGGAAGCAGCCCTGGGCTGCGGGACAGGAAGGTTCCTCCCTTTTATCCTGCGATAAACTTTATAGTTCTCTTTCTCTCGGGGAGGGGAGGGCGGGGGGCGTATGGCTGCGTAACGTGCTGTTGTACATCGAGTGATTAAACACCACCACTTCGTACCCTGCGCCCGGCGCGTTCCTCCCTGGCTGCGGGGGCCTTAGAGCCCCGCTCCCCGCTGCGCGTCTTCATCGAGCATCTCCGGGCACGGGGATTTGGGCCTGAATAAACCCCTGCGTGCGCTACGCCGGGGCGCAGAGGAGGTGGGCAGAGGCTCTGGGCTGCGTTTGCGAGCTCATTTCTTCATCCCCTGGTGCCAGGAGGGGGTCTGGGCTGTTTTACAGCCGCCCCGCGGTGCTGTCGGGGTGGGTGCTGCCTCCGCACGGTGCCCGGGCTGGGGCCACGCTGGGGGGAAAGCCCTGCGGGGTCGGCTCAGGCCACGTGCTGCAGGAGTGCTAATTGGGTTGTAATTAGTGGGACTGGGCAAAGCCAAACCTGAAGGCGGTCGTGCTCTGGCAGCGAGGGGCCGAGCCACGGGCACTGGGAGGAGGGGGAGCAGACTGGTCCTGGGAGCCGCAGGCTGGCGGGGGGGAGGCAGCGGGCACGGAGCATCCCTGGGGACTGGCGGCAGCGGTGCCATGCGTG